TATGAAAGAAGATCTAAAAGAATGACTAGCCAGAGAAGGGGCATTTTGCTCTTTTGCTACTTCCCATCGGTGTCGACCATCTAGAGAGCCATTTCGTGAGCTTACAAGAGTTGACAGGTTCTACCATGGTGGCTAGACGAGCTTGCTCCAGATTCACAAGAGTTCACAGGTTTCACCATAGTGATACTTGTAAACCGGAAGTGAAGCTGCGAAAGTGCAAAATGCCCTCCGTCGCCGAACTGCGCCTGAGTAACCCTTAGAAAATTTTTGACCTAAAGACCATTTTTTTTCTCACTTTGCTCAGCCACAGCTCATTATTCTCCACTGTTCTCACTTTTTGTTTGAAAGTGATTTTTCTTGCAGATTTTCCGAGACCTGTCCTTTTGTGAGGCGAAAGGATCAGAAATGGATGTCGTGGTAGAAGGAATGTCGAAATTGATACAACGCTCACGACCCGAGTCTTCTGAAGCGAATACAAATGGAAACACAAATGGCACCGTAAACGGACCTACACCTGTGCCTTCCAGAAAACCAAGAGCTGCCAAATACGGGTTTGTTCCTGCCGATGCAATACACATCTCGCTATATATGAACGGCTCAAAGCCTAGATGATGTTGTGGCAAGTTGCCCACTTATTGCGCTCCCAGTCCGCTTTCAATTTCCCATGGGTTCCTCTGCTGGTGGTAATCAAGCCCTTTATTTTAAAGAGAAGGTAAATCTGTAACACTTATGTGAGAGGATAAGGACACCCAGCTGGACAGCGGTTGTCCTCGGAAACTCAATCACGTTCTCTCCATATAGCATTCAGTAAGCGACTGCGATTCTGAATGTAAGTAGAATGAATGCTGCATCTCAAGTGTTATTGAACGCAGGCGAGATTTTACCCTTTCTGCTTAGAGGGGACTTTTTATTTTGTTGGTCTGTCCAGGAATTCAAAATTACCTGATGAGCCACTTGGAGAGACCTGGTCAAGTTTGGTATGGGTTGGTTGGGAATAAATGTGTAAGGCGTCAACTATGCTGACTGCGGAGTGCTGAGCGCAAGTGAGAGATGTCAACGACAAAGATCAGTCACTCGGTAGCCGAAAACTCAGAGACCGAGGAAATAGGAAAAGGTAAACAAAGAGTAGTGGGAGTAAGGCACACTCCAATGGGAAGGGAGTGGCATAAATAAGCGTCGCTTATACTACTGGAGTTTATAAAGTCAGTTCTGAGGCGTTTTGGAAATCAGAGAAATCGCTGAAGAAAGGAGAGGATCTACAGCTCGTTTAGCGTGTTGGAGGTATGCGCAGGCCAACAGTGGGTGAAGGTCCAGACCAACAAGGGGCGGGCGTGCTCTTAAAGGCCCGTCCCGCGCTCAAAAACTGTGGTTTGTGTGGCTCAAGTACTAATGAAAAAATGATAAACAATCCAGAAGTTAAGAAAGAAGCACTGCATCCCTCCCCTCCCTTCCTCCTTCCCTCCCCCGAAATGCTCCTTATAGAACTCCATGCTGGACCGCTTTTATACGTGCACAAGGCAAAAAAGGGGTTGTTGGACAAGTTCTCACTTGCTTTGTCAGCTCTTCCCCTTTCACCCCATTTCTCACACCATGAACTGGAGAGAGCTAAGCGGCGGAGCAAGTGCACCATCAGGAAGCAGTTAGAAATGAAACTGATCGTCACCCTGGAAAGTGGGCAGGGCCGTGGTTTTGTGGCGAACGGGTTCCGCTTTCCTCGCGTATTTTTCGTCTGCGAAGGTGGCACATCCTCCATGCGCGCAGGCAGGACTACTAAGTCAAAGAAGGCGTCTGAACATCATATTAACTCAGAGCACGCCTTTAAGCGCGAGGTACCTATTTAAAAATGACTAGTCTATTTTCTTACGGGTCATTTCCATTTGTAGAAATATTTACAGAAAAAAAAGATAATTGGCAATTTATGGTTCACTGTGAGAATGTTGAAAACGTTCTGAGACTTTCTTGACAGCAGTGTTCAGCCTTTAAAATCAGCTTTTCTGCTTTAGAAGCCGTAATTGATGCGAACTTGAATATACTAGATTCGGATACCAAATCAGATCCATTGGACCAAAAGGAGAAATCGAATGACTCGGAGTCAGATCGTCCTGTGATGGATCCTTCTGCTGTTTCATGATAGGAACTTTATTTCTGTCTAATGATTGTAAGCATATCGTACCGGTCAATGCCTTGTCTTGATTTGAGCCGCTTAATTGTCTTGTTGTGATAGATGACTTTTTCCTGCTGTACCAATATGAAAAGTTCATAATTATAATTGTTAAAAGAATATTGTTAAAAGACAGCATTTGAGATGATTGATTCATGTAACAGCTTGCATAAATTATTTATTATTTGAGTTAATAACCCGTAATGGCCGTGATTTCTCCATAGTAATGCTTCTATCCCGATGAGTTGAAGTAAGCCAAGATTAAGTCTTCTCCTTGCTAGATTGGCAATGGCCGCTACATGGGCAGATATCCAACGTCTTGTGGCGGATCTGCAGAGAGTTCAACTTTCAGAATCGTCGAAAAAGTCGGTATTTCTGTAACTCACTACTTTATTTGAAGTGTACAGTATTGTTCGCTGCACATGAGAAAGCTGTCACGGATTCGGCGCCGCGCCAGCCTGTTTCTTTTCTCTTTTTTTTCGGCAAGCGATAAGGCTGTATCATGTCGTGCGTTTTAGTCGTTTCCACCGATTGTTTTCGCTTACTGTTTCAACAACTGGTGCAGAGCTGATGACGCGCCGAATCCAGTCCCGCTAACAGGCCCCCCCCCCTCATCCACAGTGAACAAGACTGTAGGTTCCGGTTTATTAGTTCGTACTGATCATCCTGAGTTTTTGTTCTTTCACGAGCCATCATCAACATTTCATGGCCGTTTCTGATCTGGGTGGTGCTAAAAGATCAAGCTTTCGAGCCATGTTCTTTGCAGCACCAGCTATTCAATTTTTGGACTGTTTTCGATCCCAGCGGGAGGAGGGGTCTTTTGAGCGAACCTTTATTCAGGAGAATGGCTCTAATGTAACTTAGCGGACCTCTGAACGCCTATATCTTAAACATGAATAGGGCGTAGCCACGCGCTTACCTTGTACATGGCGTAGGATGAATTTTTCGGGGGATCATCCCATTCGTGACAATTTTCATTTTGTCCTGTGCTGGGCAAAACATCGTTACAATTGTCCCGAAACAGCAATATCGCACCAAAAGTGCAAGCCGCCGCCATGTTTCAATGAAGAACGTAGCCAAGGTCCCGGATTTGTAGGGTCTTTCAGAGGGACACATTTTCACTACCAGCAGTCACTTCTCGCGTGTGAAGGATACAGGTCTCGAATCACAGACACTACGCGCTCTTCGCAGCTCAAAAGTGCGTAGCAAGCGCGCTGCAGGTGTATGCCCAGGCCGATCATGCTCGGTACAGCACCGTTGGTAGACTTCATTATGAGTTCGCTCGCGGGGAGGGGGGGGGAGGTCGTATCTCGTCGATAGAGGTCGTGTTTTGATTCAATAGTTTCCGAGCTACGATGATTTTCTTTTCCGGCTGTTACCTTTTCTTGTTTTCCTCCCCTCCTGGGTGCTATACCCCTCCCCCTCCCCTCCAGTGGCGTGATTGATTAGAAAGAAGAGCTGATGCTGTTATGATTTCAGCTAGTAAAAACTCATATGAAGACATGCCGACGCAGTTCGACGACGGGGGGGCATTTTGCACTTTTGCTACTTCCCATCGACGTGTCGACCCATCTAGAGAGCCTTTTCGTGAGTTGACAGGTTTCACCATTGTGGCTCGATGAGCTTGCTCCAGCTTCACAGGAGTTCACAGGTTTCATCAGGTAAAGTATGCAAACCGGAACTAGTGGAGCAATGAAAGTGCAAAATGCCCCTCCCCCGTCGCCGAACTACGCCAGACATGTCTTGTAAGGCTTACGCTGGCACAAGGCTCGAAATTAAAGGGGTCATATTTGGGGCTATTCCAACGACTCCTGTTAGTTTCTTCGTTAGTGGTGATCAGTCAGTCTATTATAACTCGTGCTTGGACCATAATGACCTGCTTTCTTCGAATTGACCCCACCCACTGTTCTTTTTCTTGTCCAAAAGATCCAATGATTCCGTATTCTTGGCTTCAGTTACGTCTTTGTGATGACATTCTTGAGTAGGGATAGTCGAGCCAGACTAGGGGCGACTTGAAATTGCGGGGTGTACCTGTAAATGACTTCGCAATAGAATCTTAGCTATGTTGCTCGTGAAGCGGGATGCTTCAGTAGTTGGTCTCAGTATTCAAATCGAACTTAATTGTTGAAGTCGTTCAGGCTCTCGGAGGCGAACTGCGTGGAGGTAGTGACGAAGCTCATTCGAAGGTCTCTGATCGATGTGGTTTTCACAAGAGATGGACATTCATACATCACTCAGAAACATCTGGCGACTGAGGCGCGTTTATTTTTTGAATGAAAGTAATTTAAGTACTCTGTAAGCCACGAAGAAATGTTTGGGTCCTCACATCAAAGTCATCAATTTCCAGGTTCGAAATGAATGTGTGGCCTTGGGTGGAAGGGCTCCCCTTACCGACATAGCTACCTCGCTCAATGTTGATCTCGAACATGTGGAACGTGTTGCTCACCAGCTCGCTGCAGAAAACACCGAATTCAAGATCTCGGGAGGTGAACTGTTCGCCGAGTAAGTGATAAACCTTCTATGCACGGCTTCAAGGGCGCAAAGAGAGGCTGTACTTTCACCTCCGTGGTTCCTTGTGCTTGCTAGGTGAAAGGGTCCGCAGCAGGTGCGTGCCACTTTCTCCGCTTCAGTGTGCACAAGAACATTCATTCGGGTCTGTAATGTAGTGATACCCGTTTGGTATTCGGGGCTCCGCCTTCGCTGCCAGACGCGCACTAACTACGGTCAAATGCGCTACTTGTCCACTCTTTCTCACTTGTGGTGGTTCTCTACCTCTGACTGCCTGTTTGCTGCGGAAGTTTTGGCGTTGTCATGGACTTTGAGGTAGCGCCGGCGGAGTGCGTAGCGACACACCGGTATCACTACCCTTCCTCCGGTTAAAGTAAACGTATATAATGACTTCTATAATGGTTTTCCTACACCAGATGTCTCATCAAGATTTGTTTCCATTCCTGCAGTTCTCTGTGATCCTATAGGTGCTGGAAGGTCAGATTCAAACCCTGATGAGTTATATAGGTAGGAACGCCATAATAGAACTCTCAACAAAATCTTTGAAAATCGTTGGTGCGGGTTCTTGCTTAGGAATTTCAAGGTCATGAGCTGCTGGTGCTCACCAATCATTCTTTCCCTCGTTCTTGCGGTGGAACAGCTCTTACTACAAGCTAGAAAAAGTACCAGAAAGTACCGAAATATAAATACTACTTTATCTTACTGGCATAGGGGATTGAGGTGGCAGGATAACTCGCTAAAGGCTTTGGAATTCCAGACTGAACCAGTTCTGAGTTCCTCCGTGTTTTCTTAACACGTTGACGACATGCGCGTTTTTACTTTTTGGCCGCGTGGGACACGCGCGTTTTCTCGAACGCAACCAGCGCGGTACACACATAGTTCAGACGATCCCACGAGGCGCTTTTTTGGAAATTGGATCGGAAAACTGGATTAGAGCGCAGTTATGAAGTAAGTTAATACTTCAGTATAGAAAAAACCTGGCTGGCTAACTCTCGTTGCACTAGATGCCAGAAATTCGTCCGCAACCAATGTTTTCATAAAAAAAAGGTGTCGTGCCCTCTATAGCGTTCAGAATCCTTCACCCTATAATTTTTACCATTATCAACATTGTATCGATCAGCATTTCTCAGCTAAGTGTTGGAGAGCAAACCATTCCAGTGTTGAAGAGCAAATCAGTCCGAGCAAATGGTGATCTTTACCCAAAAAGTATTTGCTAAACTAGTGTGTACTGAATTATTCCATGGACTACGCATAGTACGAGTACACCAGGGTCTGAACTATACAATGATTAAGAGAAACTAACTAAAAAACCATGCACTGTTGAAAGATATGGATTTGTTGATCGTGAGTTGTATAGTATGCACGCTGTCCCACATGGCCTACAACGCGTGCATTCAATGTGTCTCACGCTGTCGTCAATGTGTTAATTAACACGGTACCCCACGGAGGTGGTGGAGGAGCACGAACTTTGGTTGAAGCTCCAAGGGCAATTGCCAGCCATATTTGGTCGCTGGAGGGAGATGGTCTTGCTTGTGATGAGAAGAAGTAGAGTAATTAAAGTAAAGTAGAAATAAACTGAAGTAGATTTCCCCCTGTTTCACGCGCAGTGTTCACATCGTTGAGAGACTCTCTCGAGGGTGGTCTCGGGCTCATATTTGCTCGTGGGGGCATGCCCTGATTGGAATGCCCATGTGATTTCAAATAGAAGCTCATTGCGTAATCAAGCGTAATAATCTTATCAAAGCATTGCAGGGACTACGTCACCAATTTGCAAAACGAACTCCGAACTCTTCTTGCCGAGCAAGGCTTTCAAACACTGTCATCCCTGTGCAAGCACTGGAATTTGTCACAGGTACTTTTGCTTGTGCTACGTAGCAATACCATTTCAATTCGCGTCAGGAATAGTTTTGTACCTGAAATATTAAGGAACTGCTGCGGTCCTTGTTGCTGGATCATCTTCCAGCGGATTTCAGCGGAGTGCTTGAAGGGGATACGATTTTCACCCAGGAGTACCTAGAAGCACATAAAAATTTATTGAGAGCAATACTCTCGGCTATAATTAAGTGAGTCAGCTATAGGTTTTTTGAGCGCTGTTCGGACTGGCGAGGGGCATTTTTAAATTTCGCTGGAGCCTCATGGGACCTGCAGACCCTTGTCAAGTGTGGACAAAACTTATTCTGTAGCAAGAGTTTGCTTGTCTCCACATGAGGCATCGGCACTGATCGACGAGAATCAGCAAAATGCCCCTACCAAGCCAAACTGAGCCGTTTTTGTATGTTTTTAATCACTATAGAAGTTATTAAGGCCCATTCCGATAAGCATAGTACAAGCACGAGTTGGACTGCCCACTGCTCGATTCTGGTCTGCTTTTGATGCTCTTGTAGCTGAAAACGAGGTCTGAACTTCCTTATTCCACCTGTTCTCAACGACTTTCGCTCAGAGAATATTCCTGAGCATTCAGGTACCTGGTCGATTATCGGGCTCGCGGTCTTCACCCAGTTGTACATATATTCCTCATCTTCATGACCATTTGGTCCGAATGTATGTACAGAACACGTTCCGTCAGCAAGAGTTCATCCGTCAGTGCATTGCATCCAATTTGCTTCTGTTCTTCATATTTTGGCTCTGGAAATCAGTTCAGAAGTGCTGTCTATTCAGAAACTTCTGTATTGAAAAAGCTTGGCCTCAGCGAAGGTGGTGGAAAGAATGGGCAGGTTGAACAGATTATCAAGCAGGAAAATGGTGATGTGAATATCGAAACACTGCCTTCAATGCTGCTCTCAAAAGCGCTGCTCCAGCAGTGTTCTACTGCAGTAAAAGGTAGGTAATGTTGCAGGACTTATCCTGGTAAAAAAGGAAAGAGTTGTGGCGTGATGAGGGGAATCACGTCGCTTATTTGCCGGACAGGTCATGATTCACTGATTCTAATAGCCGTTTTTCCTCCCAGTAATTTTGGGAGGGGGACAGGACAATCGTAATTTGTCGCGTCGTCGCGCCCGGCGTATTGTGTGGCCATGCGCGGCAGATGTTCGATTTGCGTCAGTTTCTCGATTGGAGCAGCGAAACTCATGTGAATACAAGCTGAGACAATACAAGCTGAGATAGCGATATAGAATTTTCCGTCCCTGTAACGCTCATATTCGAACAGCCGGGCAGGACAACTCGTCTGTTATCGCTCGTCACCAGCGCGGCACACTACGATTGTCCTGTCACATACCTATTATTTGATTTTGTCATCTTTGCTGACTCCTCTTGATTTTTTCGTGACTTTTCACCGTCATTTCAACTCTTTTACGGCGCAGTGTGAGTTTGATTTGCGACACCCCCCTACTCACCACATTTCACGAGTAAATACCATTTTTATAGAAGCTGTACAAACGTCCGACGTTTGTGATGTCCAGTCAGCATTGCAA